AAAAAAAGGGCAAGGTTATCTAGACTCAGCCTGCATACTATATAATACATTAGGAAAAGACGCCCCCCCCCCCCCCCCCCCCCCCCCCCAAGAACACAAAAAAAGCCAAAAACACTGGTAACCATCTGCCTACACAAAATCTTGGGAAGCAGACATCAAGAAGAGTTCAGGAGACATCACGTTCCACCTGCTGGTTCACAATCATTAATTTGTCATTTTCATAATTACTTGAGTAAAAAATAATTACAATTATTTTAGTTGGGATACACTATTGTGGATGATGAGAATTCTTGCAACATGAATGCAAAAAATCCGAACCACTGCCAGATTTTATATTGCAGTCTGTGTCCCTGCAGAATCTCTACATTAGGATAAGGAATATGAAAACATGGCTCCTCTCTTTCTATTCCAGTGCCAGGCTGATTAAGTATTTCCATTATTACTGCACAAGGTAAAACATTGTCCATTTCATCAACTTAAATCATAAAAAACAAGATGATACAAAGTCCATCAGCACAAAGAACCTGCATGCTACAATTCTCAGTGTAGAGATCTCGGAGATAGATTACTATACCATGACCTGGTCATGTTGCTTGCATTGATGGGTGAGGGTGATGGTCATAGACCAGTCATGCAGCAAAGCCCTTATACAAACCACAAATAGGCAAACTGCTCTAAAAATGGTATCATCCCTATAGAATATCATTGTGCAAGCATGCATACACTTCAGGGATCCCAAAGTATGAAGCTTCCTGTCTCGGAGATGCACATAATCCAAATTAAAAAGTGGCTGTAAACCTCAGACACGCAATATGAACAAAGCATATCCCTCTGTAGTGTACGCTTGTCTCAATTAACAGCACTAAGTATCAGTTCTGTCTGCTGCGTTGTTCCTCTGCTATCAGCATTAATCACATCTGAGAAGTTTCATGACACCAAGAGAAAAAAGGTGACAGGGGAGGGACCTCCAGCAGATTGGCAGCCTCAGCTTTATTCCTGTGTGGAGGGAAATGTGTCCCTTCTCTCCAATCATCTCGCAGAGCTCTCCTCACTGAGCTCTGCAGAGTGTAAGTTCAGCTCCCCAACCCCTTTTTCTACATTCTCAGACAAGCTGTATAAATTCAGCATTTTAAATGGCTGTAGTGAAGAGAAAACTACAGATAGACAGGTATAAATGTAGGAGGTTTCATTTCATCAAAGTGAGGCCAGTCACATCATTGAGTATTTAACGATTATTGTGATAAAAGTCCATATGTAAAATCCCAAAAGGAATAAAAATGTCCCATAGAGATCTCCACTGTTTCCAAGTGTGCTATATCCACAGTGCAAATCCTCCACCACTATGCAGAAGGTTAATGCTCATTACCCTATCAAAAAAAACCTAGTCACAGGGAACCTCTACAGATCGCTCCCCAAATTGCTCACCACACGAAGCCCAAGTATATAGTATAGTATTTGATTAAATTAAATGGGTCAATATTAATAGCTTTAAAAAAATTCCATGAAGAAACAAACATTTGCGGCCGGACTTACTAAGATGGCTGCTGATCTGGGCATCGGGAACGGCGGCTTGACGTCAGCACACAGAGTCTTATGTTCACCCCGCTCATTGGAAGCAACATTTAAAAATGGCCCCCATCACCCAGTAAGGGTAAAAAAAAAAGCTAACCATTTCTTGAGAGAATCCTAAAGCTGAACTCCAGGACCCAAGAGGCATGTGTATTCTTACTTGATTAAGGCGCTTCATATATTTATTCCAGAACTCCCTCCTGTTCTCCCTACGCTTTGCTTACACCCAGCCTTGTGGTGGGCACATTAATAGGAGAATTTTCGGTCTTTTGCAATTTTGGTGAGTAAATTTATTAAAGGAATCAGATGGTATGTAATATAGAAATATTCTTCAACTCCATGGTTTTAATTCAAATAATTGCAAAATCTTATTATTGTACATTATATTCTATAGAATGCATTTTGGCCATCCCTTTTCTTCAGCTTACCCCTGAGGAAAGACAGAGTTCTGAAACGTGTTGGGTTTCCCTGCTGAAGTCTACTCGCCTTTCTCTCCTCCCTTGGACAGTTTGAAGAGAGAGTATATCTTCACAGCAAGTCAGCATGTTTCTATTCCACCACCTTTATATGTTGATTTTAGTGGTTTCTACAATATGTTGACCTAACGATGTTTTAACTCTTTGTAATAAAATCAATTTGTTTATATAGATCTGTGTATGTTTAGGCAACCAGGCAGTGAATCCTGTGGTGGGCCGACATACTTCCAGAACTGTGCAGTAATCAGGTATGAAACTTTGCCTCCTGTAGTAGATGGTGTCTGATGGGTTCCTCCCACAGCTCCTCTCTTTCTGCACAGCACAATGATGATGTTACTGCTACTTTGACAAGGTAATATCTGGGTTTTCAAAAGCATTTAATACACACAAAGTAGATTTATATCCTTTGTGGCTATTGATGAATAAATATTATAAGTTGTGCCTGGAATTCAGCTTTAAAAGGGAACCTATTATTATGAAATCCAAAGTAAAGAAAAGACAGCCTGTGAAAAAAAGATAATTACCTTTCTGGCAGCATATGTCTCAAAAATCCACCACATTACAGATTTCCTTTGCAACCATATAATGACAGAATTCTAATCAAAGGTGATTTCTTCTGGTTTTAAATAGAGGGAATAGGAGGGTTAGAACATCCAGGAAGGGTTTACTGCCATCTATTTATTGAGTGGAGAGATTTACCCTCATTTCCTGTCCAAGGAATGGGGGATAGCCAGGTCAGAAGGGTTACTACATTACAAAGAATCCAAGTTTCAGGAATATATACCTACTTTTAAAAGACAAAAAGTAAAATTTGTGAAAGTTCCTCCATTAAAAAAGAAAACCATTGTCACTATATAATAAGAATAAAATACATCTGTGGAAATATCTTGTTGATGGGGGTAGAAATACTAAAACACACTGTAAAAAAAATAAAAAAAGTCCTTAACTAGTTCTGGGGAGACTCACTTATTGCTGAGAGTTTGAGATCTTGATCAGGGAAAATGGATTACAATGGTGGCAGTATGGTGTGACCCATCGATATAGAATAGATCTTCATAGCACGCTGTAAGCCGCAACACAAAACAACCAACACAGATCTGTTTATAAAAGCGAGCCAAATAAAACGTGATCAGAGACTGGCTGTTATGAGTGACTGGGCGCCAAGACGTGAAAGCCAACTTCTACTCAGATGTAAACCTAAAGCTATGTTGATGGTGCTGCCGAGATGGACATGATTAATAAATGTAAAATATCCTACCTTTCCTGGAGAAGATGCTGTTCCAGTTTCCTCCAATAGGGCTCACAGATGTCTAGGTATAAGGCCTTGTGATCTCTGCAGGAAGGACAGGCCAGAGTTTGGACAGGCCATGCCTACCCTTAAGCAGAGATCATGTAATCAAATGCCTAGGATTTTGGTTGGTTATGAAGCAGCATTTGCCAGGAAGAGTCATTCAGGTTTTTTTTTTTTTTTTTTTTACAGCCACTTCTTAAAGTGTTACTAAACCCAGAACAGTAAAATCAGTCTGTATATGCAGTAAAGCATGCTTGTTATACTCAATGTGGAACCTAACGGGTTAATCTTCTGCATTGTGTAAAAAGGCTGTTTGATCCTGTCTTCTCTGCCCCTCCTCTTGTTCAAATGAGCACCTGATACAGACTGATTTCATAGTCACATGCTCAGTTTGGTGTGTATTGCTAAAGGTTTTTTTTTTTTTTCTTGGAAGAGTGCATGTGATCAGCACAGGGCCAATCAGCACTCTCCAGACAGAGGGTCAGGGGTTTCACATCCTCCTAGAGCAGAAAGAAAACTCTTCTACAAGCTTTAACTAGTGCTCTGCTGAAGTCACAAGACTGCTCTAACTGCTGATGAGAAAAGGTATTTAGCAGTCTATATTTACTAAAATAATTGCATTTCCATGTTCTGTGTACTGTGGGAGACCAGATATAGTGAATGCAGGGTCCGGGGTTTAGTAACACTTTAACCACCTCAGCAAGCTGCTAACAGTTTTTAGTTAACATCTGACCAAAGATCTGCTTTGAATGAAAAAAAAAAACAAAACAATAGTATATAAGAGCAATGTGTAAAGCAAAATATATCAAAGCTAAATGCATACTTCCAGTAGCTTTGATCAAGACTTTAAAGTTCCCTTCATCTACAGTTTCTGGAGGTTCAACACAGATCTTAGAGTGCTGACTCAATTGAAATAAGCTGCTAGTAGGCTTTTTTACACTTGCAGCTTGTTGAAAGCCTGTTAGATACTTATGTAAAAGCTATGATCACCATTTCCAGAACATGGCCTATGTAGGGGCAACAAACCATTGGGACCCTCACTGCCAGCGTTTCAGGAATGAAAACCAATGGTTTTCATGACCTGGCAACAAGAAAGGATGTGGGGATTGCCAACTTGGAGTTTTTCAGCTAGGCTTCTAGGGGAGACCAAATGGCCTACAGGTATGCCAATAAAATAATAGACATTTTAAACAGCTTCACAGTCTTTTCATACCTATTGGGACCCGTCGACTGTATATGCCATTTTCTGGAAAAGCTAAAATGTGGGTTTTCTGCAAACAATTATAATTGACAAGCAGTTTTAAAAGGAAGGTTTGCATTTTTTGGAAATGATGAGAACTGGTCCGTGCAGTGATTTTTCTGACACCATATTGAGAAGGTTAACTATCCGTTTGTGCTATGGCACGTCCAAGGCAGTATACATGAATGGCACATGCCTGTTATAAGAAAAACAAAAAAAAGTCACTGAATAGGCTTTCCCCATTAAATCCATCCATGCAGAGTTCAGTGCTGCAAATGCACTGTCCATACATAGGGACCATCAGCCTGTCCGCTGATGAAAAGATGATATGGCACAGGTTTTGTGGCCGCGACCACACATGAATTTTATATACACGTTCATTGGTTTTCGGTAAAAGCTGGTCGAAGTCCTATAGTCTCTGTGGCTATGCATCCAGCTGTTTGCTGCTTTCAGACTTCTGGTCCAGGCGACTTCGATTGTTCTTTACCATGTAGATGAAATAGGCCAGTGTTTCCTTCTCATTCACTGGAATGTTTCGGAAATGTCGGCTCACAGTCTGTATGGGGGGGAAGGAAGGTAAATAATAAAAAAAATGATGTTGCAAGAATAAAACGGCCTAGTTTTGAAAATGGAATAAAGATTCACAAAATGCATTTTAGATTTTTCATTGTTGTTTAAAGTTTAGTTATAGCAAACCTGCCCTTTAGTGGTAGTGATTGGCAACAAGTGGTTACTTGTATGGTAATGGGATCAAAATGTTCTGTTATCTGGGCAGCAGCTTGTTGTCTTTGTACCCATAAACACCCAGTCATATAACATTCATGGAAAGCAAACCCAACAAAGGGTTGGTATCAGGTCAATGAACTAGGCAATGATGTGCATCTATACCCCAACACCACATGCTGTCCTCATTGGTGGATATGAACCAGCATTTTATAGAGCAGAACAAAAGTGGAAATTTTCAATAACATTTGCCAAAACTTAGAAATATATAAAAGACCTGTGGGGGCATAGATTTAATTTATGTGTGTAACACCTATGTTGACTGTCAGGTAAGTCTACGGCAGCCAAAATTGGAGATGGAAAAATAGTTGGGGTGTGGAAAGGCTTCCTAAAAGGTAAATAATGCACTTTTTTTATGTAAAGTGTATGGAAACACTTTACTAAAATAGGTATATATATATATATATATATATATATAATACACACACACATACACACACACACACTTTATTTATTAAAGTCAAACTGGAAATACCTACACAGATCGAATACATATAGGACTATGGTTTACAGCTGAATCTGTGATGGATTGTTTATTAGTATATGTATGGCCAGCACTGGGTGATGAAATGTACCTCTGCCAGCTGTGCTTTGTTGAGCCCAGGGCGTGTCTGTAGCTTGTAATGCCTCTTATATCTGCGCAGTGTGTTCACTTGTAGCTGAAAAAGATCAACCTACAGAGAAATAAAGAGTCTAATTACCACTTTCATAAGGATAGAAGAGAAATTAAAGCAGAACATGGTAGCCAGCAATCAAGCAACTCCTTTGATATATGAAGAAATGGCTGATCCTAGACACCATAAGTAAGGCTTTACATTGACAATATAAACTTCACCAATTTTTGTTTACCTTAAAAATCTTTTTTTCTTGGAGTACATCACAGGACAGAGAAGAGCGCATATTCATGACTACATGGGTTATGCGGCCACTGTCAGGTGAATGGACACTGGCGAAAAAAAAGTAGGCAGAAATTGACACCCATGCACAATTCCTCCTACTTCAGCTAAGCCTTAGTTTTGCGCCAAGCGATGAGAAAACACAAAAAGGGGGGGGGGGGGGATCTCTATGTTGTCTGATGCAGTCCAAGAATAGGATTCTTAGAAGTAATCCAAAAACGCAAAATTTCTTAACTGTACATTATGGATCACAGAGGAGTTCACCTTTATGACTACGTGGGATGTCCTGAACACAAGGGATAGGCAACACGGCAACAAGGCCAACATGACCAAAACCCAGAATCGGAACACGGAGGAACCCCACTACAAAGCTGCCTCCAGGACCTTTTGCCAAAAGCTGGTGTCTGCAGTGGCATAAACATCTATCTGGTGGAAATTAGTAAATGTGTAAAGAGAAGACCAGATTCTTACAATGTTAAACAACAGAACCTTGATTTTGAGTAATCCAGGAAGCACTGTCACTCCTGGTGGAAGGAGTCTTAACCAGGAAAGAAGGAACCTTGCTTATGGCATCATAGGCTTGAGAAATGAACTGACAAATCCACTCAGAAATAGCGGATTGAGAAGTAGCTTGAGTCTTATGAATTCAGATTTAAACTTAAAACAGTTTGAACAACATCAAAAAAGTGAAGCACCTTTACCTTAGGATGCCTAGAATTAGGACACAAGTATGACAAAACAATGTCCTGGTTCATGTGGAATGAAGGAAGCACCTTAAGGAGGAAAAAGGACTGAGGCCTTAACACCAAGAAGGATTCCTTGTAGGTAGGTGTAGCCAACTCTGAGACCCCACAAGCTGCAAACAGCCTCCAAAAAGACAACCTAAGGAGCAACGACGAAATCTCTCAGAGGTTCAAATGGAGAAGACTGCAAGCCAGACAAGACCAAGTTAAGGTCCCACTGAGGCAGTGGGGGCCCACACAGACAAGGGAAACACTGCTCAAAAGCTTTAACTTTAAGGAATGAGACATGATAGGTCTTTGATAGAACATGGTCAAGGCAAAGATCTTCATCTGATGGCACTCAAGCCAGAGACATTTTCAAACTACAGAAATATCAAACATACTATTGGTGATGAAACTTAGGAGCTTCACATCAGGTGAAATAAGCATTCCGTGTACACCTGTACACTTTCCTGGAGACTGATTTTCTAGTCTTACACCCTGGTCACACCCGGAGCAACTTGCCATGCGAGTTGCAAATCACAAGGCAAGTTGCACTTTGTCTGCAATTAAAGTGGTCAGATCAGTGCGATTCCGAATTGGTTGGAGTCACACCGATTTCTAATGTAGTACATGCACTACTTCAGGTGTGACTTGCATAGACATCTGTGTCTTGCAAGTTGCACCTTAAGTCGGAATGACATCCGATTTCAAAGTTGGATCGGTGTGACCGGGACCTTAGGGTCCTTTCACCCGGGTATCCTGTTTGTTCGTTTTTTTTCATCCAATTTTAGATGGAAAATAAACAGAAATTAATTCCAATAGAAATAGCTTGTGAATATAAACAGCTCATCATCCGTTTACATCCACCTACATCCTTGTCTGTTCAGATCTGTTTTTTTTTTTTTTATCGGAACAAGACTGCATCCTTTTCCATTTAGACAGATATGAACAGATGTAAATGGATGTCGCCTGTCTATTTAGTTTAAGGCTGGCCATACATTATACAATTATCTGCAGATTTTCTGCCGAATTTCCTTTAGATTTACCTTCAACTATGTAGTGCAAGGGCCTGCCTAATTGGATACAACTGAAAGTGTTGTTTAGGTTTGTCCTCCTATTATATGGTTTTTGGTAAATCTAAACCAAAAATCTGCAGATAATTGTATAATGTATGGCCAGCCTTAGTCCATTTTTAGGCAAGAAATATTTTTGGTTTATGTTTTTTATCTATGACAAGTTTCCTCAACCGCCAATTAAAAAAAAAAACCAGAACAAAAAATAAACGATGTAAACTGAACTGCAAACTGATGTAACCTGAGTCAGTATTCTTCATTTTTTTCTTAGCAAAAAACATGACTGAACGGATGATGTCGGTGTGAAACGACCCTAAAGAAGGGTAGCGATTAAAGAAACAAAAACTCTATCACTAAAAATTTGGGCTTCAACAGCCATGCCATCAAAGCCCGAAAAGGTGAAGAAGAATGGAACAGACCATGTGACAGCAAGTGTAATCGATCCAGAAGAGGCAACAGCTCATCTGTCAAGAGATGTCTGCATACCATGTTATGTTCGGCCAAGCATTTAGAATAACAAGAGCTAAGAATATTAACAAGAACGCCCTCTGCCTTTATCATGTGTAAGAGGGATGGAAGAAGCTGCAGTGGAGGAAAGGCATAGGTCAGAGAAAACTGATCCCATGGAGTCACTAGGCCAGGGTTTCTCAACCGAGGTTCCGCAGAACTTCCATAGGGATTCCGCCACAATCTACTGGTCAATCGCAAACAGGAGGCAACAAGCAGATCACGTTCCCACATAGCTGCCACTCCGCTTTGCTTGTATGTGACATCACACAGGATGGACAAGAGAGGAGGGTGAACAGGGATCAGGGCAGCAGATACGTTACAGCAGCTTGCCTGTGCCACTCTGCATAACGAAACCGCTGCTGGACTACACTTTACAGAACTCAATATAGTACCCACCTGCCACCTCCCCCTGTACCCCACGGTACTGTGCCATTTTGTCCCCCCTCCCTGTACTGTGCTCTCTTGCATCCCCCCTGTATTGCACTACTGTGCTCGCCTGTGCTCTACCTGTATTATGCTGTGCTCTCCAGGTCCCCCTTGTACTGTTCTCTCCTGGGCCTCTTCCCTTACTGTGCCCTGCTAAACCCCTGTACACTACTTACCTCAACTTCAATCCAGAATTGAACATCTGTGCAGAAAATATTAATATTAAGAACAATTGTTGTTCTATCAACAGATAGTTGAAAAACACCAATGTTTTCTGACCTGTTGATATGAAAATTATTTAGTTACACTAGTACATTGATACTTTAGCACACCTGTAAAATGCAGGTCAAAGCATAGACACGTAAAAACCAATTTTTTTGTATGTGTTCTTTTCACACTACAATACAGTACTGACCTAGGCTGTGTTAACATGCAGCATGTATGCATTTTAACGCAACACATGAAAGCACGTGTTAAAACGCACGTCAATGCAGCGCAATGTAAGTAAAGAAATAAAAAAAACAACTTTGCTTTGTCAATAATTTTGTCCCCAACTCACAAACATGATGTCACAGGAAACTTGCAAAATACATAGCATTTTTATGTGCGCTAACGCGTATCAACACACATGCAAATGTGCATCAACGCAAGTTAACACACATACAATGGATGGAAATGTACATCCATTTTCCCTGCCTTTTACTGCTAGTCAGTGTGAATTCAGCCATTGGGGTTCCTGAGATCTCAAACTTTTTGAGAGGTTCCTCAAATGTAAAAAGGTTGAGAAACCCTGCACTACGGCATCCACTGCAAACAATAGAGGATCCCTGGTTCAGGACACAAACCTGTCAAGTCTATAGCTAAAATTGCCACTTAGTCCACGAAGCACAAAGGCGCTCACCAGTTCAGATGCAGGGCCCGCAGACCCAGTCTTCACTCATGATGGCATGCTTGCATCAAACAGCCTTCAGGGACCTGACTCCCCCTTCAGGGGGATCACTGCCCTGGATCTGTACAGCACCATGCCGGCAAGATCACCAGGTACGCTGTACAGCAGAGATTGATGCCTGCAGGGCAGACAGAAAAGACATTACAGGCCATCCCCACTCCTCAATGTGATGTCCTGGTGGAGTCTTCTCTTGGCCTGCTGGCTGGAGCTACTGATCTAGATAAGGCCCACATCTGTCTCGCCAGGGGATTAAGGAACAGGCCATCCAGTATCTTTGGACACTAGCTAAAACCAGAGGCTTTGCTGAGCTGGGCGGGGTAATGTCTGGTTACGGAGGGTGACAGGATAACCCAAGTAGTCATGGATATGATCACCTTTCTGTCCTGTAAATGAATGATTAAGAAAATACATTTCTATAATTTTCAGAAAGGAATCCTAAACAAAATTAATGTTTTGACATGCTGACCTCTGGCACATCTGTTTCATGTTCCGGAGAGTCACCTCCATCATCGCTGGTTTTCCTCTTCCTCTTATTCCGAACACTTTGAATAAAATTCTTGTGGAAGTTCACAGATGTAAAGATGTCGAACCTGAGGTAGAAAAACATCATAAATCACTTCAAATGGAAACAAGAAGGGTGGCAGGATGGCTAAGAAAAATGTCTAAGTGGCTGATGTTGGGCATTAGCACTTTTACTACAAAAGTAGCCTCTTCCCAGTCAAAATATCACTACTTGAGAGATATTCTTTTTAGACTTTATGCTACTGTGGCATGTAATGTAGCCAGCTATGATTTTCCAAAAACTGTTAAATTTTTTTTTTTTTTTTTTTTTTTTTTTTTTAATTTTGCTTCCCTGCAACCATGACAAAAGTATCATGTGTACAACACAATGCCTTCGAGAACCCCATGTCCTGCTACCAGGCTTGATTTTATAACCTATAGTGAGTCTTTCAGTATTAGCTCAGCAGATTTGACCTTGTGTGTTTGTGCTGTTTATCTGCAACTTCAATGGGATTTCTTAAGACACACAGGAAACTCAAGCAGAAAACCTCTCTGTGTCTCAGAGTTCGCAAACAGCAGGGGTCTTGAATTAAAATTTACGGAGGTCCGGTCAGCAAGATTTCCTTCCAGCAGAAGTCCGAATTTTGTTACCGATAGAACACTTCACAGTCCCCCGGTACATTATGATCTTTAGTGTACCTTTCACACTGCAGTCCCCTCTTTAACCACTTCCCGAACGGCCGTTGTATATAAACAGCCGGACGGTGGCAGTGCAGGGTCAGGTGGCCGTTTATAAACGGCCTCCCCGCACCCTGCTTGTGCGCACTCCCCGGGAGCGCGCGCAGCACCGCGATCCGGTGCCCGCTGTATCCTCCGGACACAGTGAAACACTGATCGCCGGACAGGACCTCTGTACGAGGTCCCAATCATGTGACTGCTGATTGGCCAATCAGTGATCACATTCAAAGTAGTAAGCAAGATGTCACTTCTGACATCATTGCTTACTACGTGTGAAATCTGTGAATGATCAAAGAGGTCACATGGTACAAGGCTATTCACAACAGCCTTGTACCATGTGACAAGCTGTGACCAATCACAGCTCACTCAGTAGTTCTCAATGGCTGCAAGAATGCAGACAGAGAGAAAGAGAAATGATTGCTTTTACATCCTATAAGGGTGTAAAAGCAATTAGTGTAAAAAAAAAAAAAAAAATCTTCATCACCCCCAAAAATAGTACAGTGTCACCATGGTGACACTGTACTGCTAGGGTGACAATGTAAAAATAAAAAATAAAATATAAAAAAAATTAAAATGTAAAAAAATTTTTTTTAAAATTATAATTTTTGTTATAAAAAAAAATGGTAAAAAAATCATATGGGTACAGTGTTGCATGACCGCGCAATTGTCATTCAAAGTGTGATAGCGCTGAAAGCTGAAAATTGCCCTGGACAGGAAGGAGGTAAAAGTGTCCGGACTGGAAGTGGTTAAAGAAGTCCCACAGTGTCCTCTTTTCCCTTCACATCACTGCCCCCCTTTACAACACAGCATCCCTTAACACAGCAGGATGTCTCTTTGCTGGACAGGGATGTCTCTTTCCTGGATGGCGATGTCCCTTCTTGGACTGGGCTGTCTCTTTGCTGGACCCAACTGGCTACAGAGACATTGCCATCCAGCAAAGAGACAGCCTCATCCACCGCCGCTACAGACCTGGCACAGTGTGCCGACGGGTGAAGAAGAGAGTCTGCCGTTGTCCCTTCAGTGCAGTGGCCAGCTGTGTCAGCGGCACCTCCTGCATGTTACTGGAGCCGTCACTTCTGCTCCTCCTGTCAGCCCTACTTTAGGCATAGCCGTACAATGGGAGGTGAACGGCGGCTGCGGTCTGTATCAACCCTGTCCAGGCAGCGGTCGCCAATTACCTCCTGCTGTGCGGCCCGTTCATCTTAAGCCCGGCGGCCCAGAGGGAGGGCACCCGGCGGTGGCGTGGCTGCGGTCCAGACAGGACTGCCCCTCGGTCCGGTTCTGGACCGCCATTTAGTGACCACTGCCATAGAGAGATGTAGAACGCAGCACAGGGTACACAGTGCTAAACACACAGACAGTCCATTGCCCAGTATATATAGAGAAGTGAACACAGTGTAACAGCAGTATAGAGCCTCCTGCACACTGGGTGTTTTTACAGCTGCTCCTAGCGGCATCTGCAGGGTTTTTCCTGCCCCTAAACTGCCCTGCATGTTAGCCTATGTGTCCATGTGTGCACACGTCTTAGAAGAGTTTAGAGGCAAGAAAAAAACCCACTGCCAGTGTGCCCAGGAGTTGCAGCATTTTGGCAGAAAAAAACGCTTGATGCTTCTAAACACATGTAAACGTATTTAACGTTTGAGAGTTAATTTATTTGAATAGCCAGAATAAAATAATTCATTTCATTAGCCAGAATAAATAATGCCCAAATGCTTGACGTGGCTATATGCTTTACACACTTTTACAAGCATCAGAAGGTTTTTCTGCCAAAACTCTGCTGCCAGGAGGAAAGGCTTCTAGGAGAGTTTGAAAAATGTCTGGTGTGCATGAGGTCTCTAAAGCAGCAAAGGGTTACTGAGCAGTAGAAAACAGTACTAAAGTAGGGAACATGTCAGAAGGCAGAGAAACAACAGCACACTAATCTTCCCAGTGATTATCAGGGGGAGTGTCTGCACAAGCCTGGCTAACAGAGGACAGGCAGGCAATGCTTCCAAGTAGAAAACTGACCACACAGGGATGGATGTGCACTCATGCCTTGTACAGTCAGTATGAAATAGGAAAGCTAGAGGACTAGTATGATCACCAGGTATTTCACACAAAGGAAACAATGCAGAACAGAAGAGAACAGGATACTTTTAAATACAACACTCGGGAACATGAAATGTTGGGGTAACATGCAGTACAACAGGCACATCAGGAGCATGAAATGTTGGGGTAACATGCAGTACAACAGGCACATGAAATGTTGGGGTAACATGCAGTACAACAGGCACATGAAATGTTGGGGTAACACGCAGTACAACAGGCACATCAGGAGCATGAAATGTTGGGGTAACACGCAGTACAACAGGCACATCAAGAACATGAAATGTTGGGGTAACACGCAGTACAACAGGCACATCAGGAACATGAAATGTTGGGGTAACACGCAGTACAACAGGCACATCAGGAACATGAAATGTTGGGGTAACACGCAGTACAACAGGCACATCAGGAACATGAAATGTTGGGGTAACATGCAGTACAACAGGCACATCAGGAACATGAAATGTTGGGGTAACACGCAGTACAACAGGCACATCAGGAGCATGAAATGTTGTGGGTAACACGCAGTACAACAGGCACATCAGGAGCATGAAATGTTGGGTAACACGCAGTACAACAGGCACATGAAATGTTGGGGTAACATGCAGTACAACAGGCACATCAGGAACATGAAATGTTGGGTAACACGCAGTACAACAGGCACATCAGGAACATGAAATGTTGGGGTAACATGCAGTACAACAGGCACATCAGGAACATGAAATGTTGGGGTAACATGCAGTACAACAGCACATCAGGAACATGAAATGTTGGGGTAACATGCAGTACAACAGGCACATCAGGAGCATGAAATGTTGTGGGTAACACGCAGTACAACAGGCACATCAGCAGCATGAAATGTTGGGGTAACACGCAGTACAACAGGCACATCAGGAGCATGAAATGTTGGGGTAACACGCAGTACAACAGGCACATCAGGAGCATGAAATGTTGGGGTAACACGCAGTACAACAGGCACATCAGGAGCATGAAATGTTGGGGTAACACGCAGTACAACAGGCACATCAAAAGCATGAAATGTTGGGGTAACACGCAGTACAACAGGCACATCAGGAACATGAAATGTTGGGGTAACACGCAGTACAACAGGCACATCAGGAACATGAAATGTTGGGGGTAACACGCAGTACAACAGGCACATCAGGAGCATGAAATGTTGGGGTAACACGCAGTACAACAGGCACATCAGGAACATGAAATGTTGGGGTAACACGCAGTACAACAGGCACATCAGGAGCATGAAATGTTGGGGTAACACGCAGTACAACAGGCACATCAGGAACATGAAATGTTAAGGTAAAATACTCTAAAAAATGTTGGGTACTAGCTGCAATATTTTAGTACCACCAATAACATGCCTCCTGGGCACGAGTCTACACACCCCTGTTAAAATGTCAGGTTTCTGTGATGTAAAAAAATGAGACAAAGATAAATCATTTCAGGGCTTTTTCCACCTTTATTGTGACCTATCAACTGTACAACTCTATTGTAAAAAAAATATGAAATCTTTTTTGGGGGGAGTAAACATAAAAAAACTAAAATAATGCTGTTGCATAAGTGTGCACACCCTCTTATAACTGGGGATGTAGCGGTGTTCAGAATTAAGCAATCTCATTCAAAATCATGTTATATAGGAGTCAGTACACACCTGCCATCATTTAAGGTGCCTCCGATTACCCCCCAAAAAGTTCAGCTGTTCTAGTAGGTATTTCCTGACATTTTTCTTAGTGCTTGCATCCTACAGCAAAAGCCATGGTCCGCAGAAAGCTTCCAAGGCATCAGAGGGATCTCATTGTTTAAAGGTATCAGTCAGGAGAAGGGTACAAAAGAATTTCCAAGACATTAGATATACCATGGAACATGAAGAAAGTCATCATCAAGTGGAGAAAATTTGGCACAACAGTGACATTACCAAGAACTGGACGTCCCTCCAAGATTGATGAAAAGATGAGAAGAAAACTGGTCTGGGAGGCTGCCAAGAGCCCTACAACAACATTAAAGGAGCTGCAGGAATATCTGGCAAGTACTGGCTGTGTGGTACATGTGACAACAATCTCCCGTATTCTTCATATGTCTGGGCTATGGGGTAGACTGGCAAGACAGAAGCCTTTTCTTACGAAGAAAAGCATCCAAGCCCAGCTAAATTTTACAAAAACACATCTGAAGTCTCCCAAAAGCATGTGGGAAATGTGTTATAGTCTGATGAAACCAAGGTTGAACTTTTTGGCCATAATTCCAAAAGATATGTTTGGTGCAAAAACAACACTGCACATCACCAAAAGAACACCATACCCACAGTGAAGCATGGTGGTGGAAGCATCATGCTTTGGGGCTGTTTTTCTTCAGCTGGAACTGGGGCCTTAGTCAAGGTAGAGAGAATTATGAACAGTTCCAAATACTAGTCAATATCGGCACAAAACCTTCAGGCTTCTGCTAGAAAGCTGAACATGAAGAGGAACTTCATCTTTCAGCATGACAACAACCCAAAGCATACATCCAAATCACCAGAAATTGAAAGTTTTGGAATGGCTCAGCCAGAGCCCAGACCTGAATCCGATCGAAAATCTGTGGGGTGATCTGAAGAGGGCTGTGCACAGGAGATGCCCTCACAATCTGACAGATTTGGAGTGTTTTTACAAGAGTGGGCAAATATTGCCAAGGCAAGATGTACCATGCTGATAGACTCATACCCAAAAATACTGAGTACTGGAAACACATCAAAAGGTCCTTCAACAAAGTATTAGTTTAAGGGTGTGTACACTTATGCAACCATATTATTTTAGTTTTTTATTTTTACTTCCCTCCACCTAGAAGATTTCAGTTTGTTTTTCATCTGAGTTGTATAGTTTATATTTCACATTAAAAGGTGGAAAAAGTTCTGAAATGATTTATCTTTCTCTCATTTTTTTACATCACAGAAACCTGACATTTTAACAGGGGTGTGTAGACTTTCCTATCCACTGTGTGTAGGTATAGAGATGCTGTATATTTATATACACATGGATTGAATACACACACACTGGACAATATATATATATACACACACACACTGGACAATATATATATATACACACACACTGGACAATATATATATATATACACACATAAACTGTGCACTGTGTAAAGACAATACAGGAACTACACACCCCCTGCACACCCACTATACTATATACACACACATTATACTGCACACTGCATCCCATTATACTGTACATACACACATATGTATGACATGACACACATATACATGATGTACGCGCACACACATGTATAACATGATACACACATACATGATACACACACACAATGTACGCACACACATGCATGACATGATACACAAACACACGCATGACATGATACACACACACACGCATGACATGATACACACACACACACACACACGTATGACATGATACACACACACACACACACACGTATGACATGATACACACACACACACACACACACACGTATGACATGATACACACACACACACACACGTATGACATGATACACACACACACACACGTATGACATGATACACACACACACACACACGTATGACATGATACACACACACACACACACGTATGACATGATACACACACACACACACACACACACACACACGTATGACATGATACACACACACACACACACACGTATGACATGATACACACACACACACACACACGTATGACATGATACACACACACACACACACGTATGACATGATACACACACACACACACGTATGACATGATACACACACACACACACGTATGACATGATACACACACACACACACGTATGACATGACACACACACACACACACACACACACACACACACGTATGACATGATACACACACACACACACGTATGACATGATACACACACACACGTATGACATGATACACACACACACGTATGACATGATACACACACACACGTATGACATGATACACACACACACGTATGACATGATACACACACACACGTATGACATGATACACACACACACGTATGACATGATACACACACGTATGACATGATACACACACGTATGATGATACACACACGTATGACATGATACACACACACGTATGACATGATACACACACACACGTATGACATGATACACACACACACACACGTATGACATGATACACACACACACACACGTATGACATGATACACACACACACGTATGACATGATACACACACACACGTATGACATGATACACACACACACACACACACGTATGACATGATACACACACACACACACACACACACGTATGACATGATACACACACACGTATGACATGATACACACACACGTATGACATGATACACACACACACACACGTATGACATGATACACACACACACGTATGACATGATACACACACACACACGTATGACATGATACACACACACACACACACACACACGTATGACATGATACACACACACACACACGTATGACATGATACACACACACACACACGTATGACATGATACACACACACACACGTATGACATGATACACACACACACACGTATGACATGATACACACACACACACGTATGACATGATACACACACACACACGTATGACATGATACACACACACACACGTATGACATGATACACACACACACACGTATGACATGATACACACACACACACGTATGACATGATACACACACACACACACGTATGACATGATACACACACACACACGTATGACATGACACACACACACACACGTATGACATGATACACACACACACACGTATGACATGATACACACACACACGTATGACATGATACACACACACACACGTATGACATGATACACACACACACACGTATGACATGATACACACACACACACGTATGACATGATACACACACACACACGTATGACATGATACACACACACACACACGTATGACATGATACACACACACACACGTATGACATGATACACACACACACACGTATGACATGATACACACACACACACGTATGACATGATACACACACACACACACACGTATGACATGATACACACACACACACGTATGACATGATACACACACACACACGTATGACATGATACACACACACACACACACGTATGACATGATACACACACACACACGTATGACATGATACACACACACACACGTATGACATGATACACACACACACACGTATGACATGATACACACACACACACGTATGACATGATACACACACACACACGTATGACATGATACACACACACACACGTATGACATGATACACACACACACACACGTATGACATGATACACACACACACACGTATGACATGATACACACACACACACGTATGACATGATACACACACACACACACGTATGACATGATACACACACACACACGTATGACATGATACACACACACGTATGACATGATACACACACGTATGACATGATACACACACACACGTATGACATGATACACACACACACACGTATGACATGATACACACACACGTATGACATGATACACACACACACACGTATGACATGATACACACACACACACGTATGACATGATACACACACACACACACGTATGACATGATACACACACACACACGTATGACATGATACACACACACACACGTATGACATGATACACACACACACACGTATGACATGATACACACACACACGTATGACATGATACACACACACACGTATGACATGATACACACACACGTATGACATGATACACACACATGTATGACATGATACACACACACAGGGTGTACGCACACACATGTATGACATGATACACACAGGGTGTACGCACACACATGTATGACATGATACACACACACAGGGTGTACGCACACACATGTATGACATGATACACACACACAGGGTGTACGCACACACATGTATGACATGATACACACACACAGGGTGTACGCACACACATGTATGACATGATACACACACACAGGGTGTACGCACACACATGTATGACATGATACACACACAGGGTGTACGCACACACATGTATGACATGATACACACACAGGGTGTACGCACACACATGTATGACATGATACACACACAGGGTGTACGCACACACATGTATGACATGATACACACACAGGGTGTACGCACACACATGTATGACATGATACACACACAGGGTGTACGCACACACATGTATGACATGATACACACACAGGGTGTACGCACACACATGTATGACATGATACACACACAGGGTGTACGCACACACATGTATGACATGATACACACACAGGGTGTACGCACACACATGTATGACATGATACACACACATGTATGCACACACATGTATGACATGATACACACACATGTATGACATGATACACACACATGTATGACATGATACACACACAGGGTGTACGTACACACATGTATGACATGATGCACACACATGTATGACATGATGCACACACATGTATGACATGATACACACACAGGGTGTACGCACACACACGTATGACATGATACACACACATGTATGACATGATACACACACAGGGTGTACGCACACATATGTAATACATGATACACACACAGGGTGTACGCACACATATGTAATACATGATACACACACAGGGTGTACGCACACATATGTATGACATGATACACACACAGGGTGTACACACACATGTATGACATGACGCACACACATGTATGACACAATACACACACATCCCTCCGGGGACTCACGCTCTTGTCGATGTCCAGTTTGAGTCTCTTCTGACTGATGCTCTTCTGCACTCTCTTGCTGAATGAGGCGTTCCCCGCCGGCCGGGCACAGCGCTCTCCCCCGTCTATCAGACAACACGTCTGTCCGAAGAACGGAGCGGCCGGGGCCGGCGGCCCATCCCTGCTGTCCTCCTCCGTACTGAAGCCGTTCATCCCCGCCTCTCCGTCAGCACACAGCCCGTCTTGACATGCCGGGCCTCTCCCCGACACACTGCAGCAACAGAGTCGCCAGCACCCTGACAACGGAAGTCCCACCCTCGGCCGAGCTCCGGCTGGACAGAACAGTCGGTGGGCGGGGTTGGCGTTTGACACTCGGTGTCACGATTGGCCGGAGCAGTTGTCATTTGGGGAGGGAATGGTCACGCCTCTTCCGGGTACGGAGCGAACCAATACTGTGCCATGGCCGGGCTGTTCACTACTGTAAACAAGTGTGAAGTCCCGGCAACCTGTAGGAGAGCCGCCATTACCGGGGCCCGGCTGTGTCCTCCCCTAGTCCCAGTGTATACTGACCGTACAGGAAAGTCTCCCGTGCCGTGTACAGCGAAGTGTGTCGGTCTCTGAATAGAGACCCACCTTGGATCGCTCCTCAGAGGGCATTTGCCAGGTGGTGTGAATACTTGATGTCACCTCGTAGCCCTAAACGTGTCCCCGCTGCAATGCACACACATGCAGAGACATCACCCCTCTTTATTCAGACAAAGGGGCCACTACATCATGTTTACTGTGCGGCGGTATCTGTCCACCCTTTCTGCTAAAACTGCGACTCAGCCACAGGTTTTTACTGCCCCCCAACCACAGGAGTAAAGGAAAGCAAAGTGAGGGAATATTTCCCCAACGGTACAGATGGCAGCCTGAAAGAGACTAAAGCAGAACTAGGGGCAAAACTTTTTCTTATCGATGGATTAGGACCCCTGTCAGATTTTGTTATTTGCCATCTGGGTCCCATCAGGGAGATTCATGTCTTGTCCCCTGTGAGCTGCTATGATCAAGTCAAATCCATACATAACTGAAAGCTGCTCAACCCCCCCCCCAATCACACCCCCATATAGGATATGGATCTGGTCAGGGGGTGTTAATCAGTTTCAGCTGCTTTGGGGTTAATGAAATTAACAACAGGCGCACTAGACGGGCAACAATGAGACAACCCCCAAAACAGGAATGGTTTTATAGCTGGAGGCCACTGAAATTTCTTTCCCTACTCATCTTTTCTGACTGTTTTTCAATAGTTTTGTATTTGGCTAGGGTCAGTGTCACTACTGGTAGCATGAGGCCATACCTGGACCCTACAGAGGTTGCACAGGCAGTCCAACTCCTCCTCCCATCAATATGTTCCATTGCCAGAAGGTTTGCTGTGTCTCCCAGCACAGTCTCAAGAGCATGGAGGAGATTCCAGGAGACAGGTAGTTACTCTAGGAGAGCTGGACAGGGTCGTAGAAGGTGCTTAACCCATCAGCAGGACCAGTATGTGCTCCTTTGTGCAAGGAGGAACAGGATGAGCACTGCCAGAGACCTACAAAATGATCTCCAGCAGGCCACTGGTGTGAATGTCTCTGACCAAACAATCAGAAACTGACTTCATGAAGGTGGCCTGAGGGCCCGACATCCTCTAGTGGGCCCTGTGCTCACTGCCAGCACCATAGAGCTTGATTGGCATTTGCCATTGAATATCGGAATTGGCAGATCCACCACTGGCGCCCTGTGCTTTTCACAGATGAGAGCAGGTTCACCCTGAGCCCATGTGACAGACGTGAAAGTGTCTGGAGAAGCCGTGGAGAACATTATGCTGCCTGTAACATCATTCAGCATGACCGTTTTGGTGGTGGGTCAGTGATGGTCTGGGGAGGCATATCCATGGAGGGGCACACAGACCTCTACAGGCTAGACAGTGGCACCCTGACTGCCATTAGGTATCAGGATGAAATCCTTGGACCCATTGTCAGACCCTACTCTGGTGCAGTGGGTTCTGGGTTCCTCCTGGTGCATGACAATGCCCGGCCTCATGTGGGGAGAGTATGCAGACAGTTCCTGGAGGATGAAGGAATTGATACCATTGAATGGCCCCCATGCTTGCCTGACTTAAATCCAATAGGACAGCTCTGGGATATCATGTTTCGGTCCATCCGATGCTGCGGGTTGCACCTCAGACTGTCCAGGAGCTCAGTGATGTCCTGCTCCAGATCTGGGAGGCAATACCCCAGGACATTATCCGTCATCTTATTAGGAGCGTTCCCTGATGTCAGGCATGTATACATACAAGCATGTGGGGGCCATACAAACTACTGATGACCATTTTGAGTTGCTGCAATGAAATTTCAGGAAAATGGACTAGCCTGCTGCATAATGTTTTCACTTTGATTTTCGAGGTGTCTTTGAATTCAGTCCTCTGTAGGCTGATAATTTTCATTGCAATCAAACGATGGGGCATCCTTAAAATCCTAACACATTACCCAGTCCATATCAGTATAGATATCCAGCAGGAGATTTTTCCCCATTGAGATCTGATGTGTTTTCAAAGTGTTCCTTTCATTTTTTTGAGCAGTGTATATTCATCCAGTCCAATATGCTCAGTTTTTGCAGACTTGTCTCCGATAACCCTTTCACTGCCAGAGCTGTTTTTGTATTTTTTGCTCACTTAAAAAAAAAAAAAAAAAAAAAATTTAGGCCTGAAGATTACACAAAACACCCCCAAACATGATACATTTTCTGAGGCACTGGGGAATAAAATAGTGGTAGTTCCAATTTTTCATGTCACACAATAAATATTACAAAGGCCTAGGAAACGCAATAAATTACCCACATTTTTGGTAAAATATAAACGATGAGGTTTTGCAAAGTAAATAGATGCCCAACATGCCAAACCTTAAATACGCATGTGCCTGTAAAATGGTGACAAACCTTAGTAACCTATGTTTTCTATAAGCAACATTTCATAAGCCCCTATAGGTCATCAGTTACAGTGAAGGAAATGCGTATTTGACCCCCTGCTGATTTTGAATGTTTGCCCACTCACAAAGAAATTAGTCTAAAAATCAAATGGTAGGTGTATTGTAACACAGAGAGACAGAATAGCAACAAAAAATTCAGTAGAAATGCATGTCTAACAAATGATGCATGTTCATGAGGGAAATAAGTATTTGATCCCCTATCAATCAGCAGGATTTCTGACTACATATCTCTCTCTCTCTCTCTCTCTCTCTCTCTCTCTCTCTCTCTCTCTCTCTCTCTCTCTCTATCTATATAATATATATGTGATTTTGCGCAGCCCTTGGCCCTGTAGCAGTATTTCTGCTACAGGGTGGTGGGAAAGCAGTTGAGACAATGTTGGATCTAGAAGACCACAAATGTCTCCTCTGGGCTCCACTGGATACATTGCAGTGCAGATCACAGTGCAATACATCTCTCCCTGGTTATTCTAGCTGGAAAAGTGACATCGGTGACCCAGAAGTGACGTCATGCATATTGCTTTCCGGTATAAATCAGCATTCAACCCAATTCACAAAAGGAAATAAATGCGTGCCGTAACTGCGTATTGGGCCAGGCATGCAGTAGTTAAGGAATGTGTTTAATTTTATTTGGTTGTTAAGGAGCTGGCAGCCGGCAAATGAGAGGAAATTTCTGTCACCTGAACTATCATCCCCATTGGAAGATTTCCCCTCTATTAGGCTAGGTTCACATATGAGAGGGTGGTGCCACTGTGGATCTGCATGAAAATCCATGTAGCCGCACCACCCGCACAGAGAAATGTGGACCTGCGGGCGGGTGCCATTAATTCTAATGGCACGCCACCCGCACTGGAAATTACGACTGCACTGGGAACCGAGGTTCCTATGCGGGCTGCATTTTTAGAAGAAGTGCAGGGAATTCTTCCCTACGGGGCACGGGAGTCCATTCAAATGAATGGGCTCTTGTGCCCACACAATACACGGCCAGCAGGAACGCACATGTGAACCAGGGCTTAGTGTTCTAGTGACAACCCAAAATTCCAAAATTCGGGAGGGGGAATTTCTGTAACGGGGGCATAGACAATTATAAAAACGTGACAGGTGCTCCAATCTCTCTCCACTCTCTCCGAAAAACAAGAAGGTTTACCTTTCCTTACACTTTACCTTCCATTCAATTGATTTATTAAGCTGGTAATTGATTTTGATTTCATGAAAATGGTCGGTTGTTGCTTCTGATCAGTTGAACAAATATCCAAGTGCGTGCCGGAGAACAGATTGTAATTCATTCATACTGATTACATTGCTGTGTCCAGAAGATGCAGCAGCTCTGTGCGCTATGATTGGTTGATTAGCTGGCAGAGTCGCTGTCCCAGAATGCAGACTGTCTGTGTCCAGGGCATTGCTAGGTCCTAATCGCAGGTACCAGCTTGGATGCTGACCATTGATTCTACAGGGACATGTCTGGGTGCATGGATGGTGGCTGTGGGATGATAGATCCTTTGCTGTACATTATTGAATGATCCTTCTTATTGCAATTACATTGTACAGATTGTACATCATAGTGCAGCCCGTTTTTGGTCGGGGAGTATAAGGAATGACCCCCCCCAAACAGGACTAAACCTGCATGTGAATAAGAGAACCAGATCATTTTAGTCCTCGTGCACACTAGACGTCTTTACAACTGCCGGTTTCGGTTTTTGGTATCTTTTTATACAGCCAGTAAACTCCCCAGCATGTTATCCTATGTGTCCATGCACACATAGGCTTTAATCAGCTGGGGCATTTTTTTGGCTGGGAAAAACCCCCAGAATTAGTGTGTTTCAAGAGGAGCTGTAAAAATGTTCTAACACTGAAAAACGCAGTAAAATGTGTCAAACCGGTGTTTTAGGACATTTATTTGAGTAAAAACTTTTTTCGTGTGTGTAAAAAAATGATGAAAAACGTGGCTAACTGCTAATGCAAAATCACTGAAAAACGTGCGTTTTTAATGCAACTTTACACAGCTAACTCTACCAGCTTTATTAAAATGCTCAGTGTGTATGGAGCTTTATAATAAGTAGGCAGAGTCAAGACAGGGCCCCCTCCTGGGAAATGATCACTAATCAAAGTAATTGGGAGCAAATCAACCACTGCAACCAGCACATAATATTAAAGCGATTCTAAAGGTTCATTTTTTTTTGTAAAATACCAAACATGTCTATACTTACCTGT